CGGGGTTCCCCCTGGGATCAGGGCTGGGGTTCACTCCCGGGGTTCACTCCCAGGGTCCGCTCCCGGTTCCCCCCCCAGGGGCGGTGCCGCCGGTCACGTGACCGGGAGGGGGGCGGGGCCGACGCCCGGGCGTCTCCAAGGTGACGGGCGGGCGGGCGCGCGCGCGAGCGGCGGGCGCGGCGACGTCAGGGCGCGTGACGGGCGACGCGCGTGCGTCATCACCGCGAGCGGCGGCGGTGGCGGCGGGGGAAGAGCCCCGGGAGAGCCCCGGGTCGGGCCGGGCCAGCGCAGCGCCACCGGGAACCGGGGCCGCCGCGCTCCGCTCCGGTCCCCGGCGTCCCGCCGGGCCGAGCGGGGCCGAGCTGAGCTGAAGAGAGGCGGACAGCGGCGCTACCACCGGCGGGGCGAGCGCGGGGGCCGCACGCCGACCCCCGCCGGGGGGCTCCAGGCACCCGGGAGCGGCGGGCGGCCGTCGGGGATGTCCTACAAGCCCATCGCTCCCGCCCCCGCCACCCCCGGAGCCGCCAGCGCCAGCCCCGCCCCGCCGGGGCCCGGGGCGCCGTCCGCCGGTGAGAGACCCCCCGGTAACCGCGGGGGGTTGGGGGCGACCGGTGCCTCCGGGGGGCACCGGGGAAGGGCGGGGCGGAGGCGCGGGGCGGGGGGTGCCGGGGCAGGGGGCTGCGGCCGTGACCCTCCGTCTCCTGCAGCCACGAGTGTCCCGTCGCCCTCCGGCTCCGTGCCCGGCGCCGCCGCCCCTTTCCGGCCGCTCTTCAATGACTTCGGGCCGCCGTCCATGGGTTACGTGCAGGTGAGGCGCGGGGCCGAGGGCGGCGGGGCCGGGGGCGGCGGCGGGGGCGGCCCCCAGCGCCACCGTGCCTCCGTGTGCCCCCGTTCCCGCAGGCCATGAAGCCCCCCGGGGCGCAGGGCTCGCAGAGCACCTACACCGACCTGCTCTCGGTCATCGAGGAGATGGGCAAGGAGATCCGGCCCACCTACGCCGGCAGCAAGAGCGCCATGGAGCGGCTGAAGCGGGGTACGGGCGGCGGCGGTGGAGGGACCGGGCGGCCCTCGGGGCTGCGCCCCCGCGGGGCTTCCCCAGCCCCGCTGCGGGGGGACCGGAGGGTGATGTGCGGTGTCCCTGTGCTTCTCCCCGCAGGGATCATCCACGCCCGGGCGCTGGTCAGGGAGTGCCTGGCAGAGACAGAGCGAAACGCCCGCACGTAACGGCAGCTGCCGCCCGGGACCCCCCGGGACCCCCGGTGGCGGCGCGGGGGGGGCCGCCGTGCTGCCCGCGCCCCCCCCTCCCCGCGATCTCCGCTCTTTATAAATGCCTGTTTTTATAAATAAAGGACAATGTTGGGACTTGGACTCGGTGTGTCCCCCTTCGGGGGGGGTTCGCGGTGGGGACACGGGGTGGAGGTGGGGAGGGGACGGGTCGTCGGGAGAGGGTTTGGAGCCGCGCCGGGTGGGTATCCCGGAGCTCAAAGGCGCGGGAATGCTTAAAGCTCTGTTTTATATCTTAAAAAGTGGCTTTTTTTAATAAAAGCTCCCTTTTTTTCCGGACGCGGTGTGTGGGGGGGGGCGGCTGTGCCGGTGCACGCGGAGCACCCGTGAACGGCTCTCGCCGCCTCCCGCTGTCTGACGTCACGGGGCCCCCCCTCCCTGCCTACGTCACGGGCGTTGCCGTGGGAACGGGCTGTGATGTCACGATCCGAGGGACCGGTGCGGAGCGGCGCAGGTTCGGCGGGGCCGCGGCCGGGGGCGGCGGGGCCGGGGGTGGGCACCGGGCTGGGGGGGGGGTTGCCATGGCAACGGGGAGGGCGCCCGAGCCGGGCCGAAGCCGAGCCGAGCGGTGCCGAAGTGAGCCGAACCCGGACCCGAGCGGTGCCGAACTGAGCCGAACCCGCGGCCGAACCCGGGCCCGAGCGGTTCCGAAGCAGTGCCGAACCGGCCCGAGCGGTTCCCAAGCGGTGCTGAAGCGGTGCTGAGCCGGCCCGAGCTGTGCCGAGCGGTTCCGAAGTGGTTCCGAACCGGCCCGAGCGGTTCCGAAGCGGTGCCGAACCGGCCCTGTGTAACGGGAGCCCTCTCAGGCGCTGCCCCCGCCGCCCCCCGCCGCCGCCGCCATGCTGATCAAGGAGTACCACATCCTGCTGCCCATGAGCCTGGAGGAGTACCAGGTGGCACAGCTCTACATGATCCAGGTGGGCTGCGGGGCTGAGCATGAGGCGCTGCAGGGCGGGGGCTGAGGGCGGAGACTGGGGGGGCTGCACGGGGTGCAAGGGGCTGAGCATGGGGGGCTGTGGGGCTGAGCATGGGGGGTTGTGAGGGTGTGGGGGGCTCTGGGGCTGAGCATGGGTGGGCAAGGGGCTGAGAGACTGAGTGTGGGGAACTGGGGGGATCGGGAGTCGGTGGGGCCGAGCCTGGGGAGCTGGAGGCTGAGACTGAGGGGATGCAGGGGGCTGGGAGAGGCTGGAGGTGGTAGTCTGGGGGGCGCAGGGGGCTGTGTGGGAGCGTGAAGGGTGCAGGGGCTGAGCCTGGGGGTGCACAGGGGGTTTTGAGACTGAGCGTGGGGAGCTGCAGGGTGCAGGGGCTGAGAAGTTGAGCCTGAGGAACTGGGGGTGCAGGGGGACTGTAGGGCCGAGCACGAAGCCTAGAGGGCCACGGTGGGGCCCGAGGATGCTCCCAAGGGATTGGCAGGGTGCAGGGGTGTCAGTGGGATTCGGGTGAGTTTGGGGCTGCCGAGCCAAGGAGGGGGTCCTGGGAGCAGGTGGGCTGGCAGGGGCAGGAGCGTACGGGGACCCCGAGGGCCCATGAGGGTCTCAGGGTCCAGGGGGGCTGTGCCTAGCCGTTGTCTCTCCCCGCAGAAGAAGAGCCGGGAGGAGTCGAGCGGTGAGGGCAGCGGGGTGGAGATCCTGGCCAACCGGCCCTACAGCGACGGCCCCGGGGGCAGCGGGCAGTACACACACAAGATCTACCACGTCGGCTCCCACATACCCAGCTGGTTCCGGGCGCTGCTCCCCAAAGCCGCGCTCCAGGTGGAGGAGGAGTCCTGGAACGCTTATCCCTACACACGCACCAGGTGGGGGGGCGGCAGGGTGGGCTGCGGGGCTGGCCATGCCTCCGGACTCAGTGCTGTCCCCCTCCAGGTACACGTGTCCCTTCGTGGAGAAGTTTTCCATCGAGATAGAGACCTACTACCGGCCGGACGCAGGCCAGCAGACCAACGTCTTCAACCTGAGCGCGGCAGAGAAGAGGCAGAGGATTTTGGGTGAGTACGGATGGCTCGGACACCAGGCAGGTCTTATAGCTGCTGGAATTCCCATCTGGTGATCCTGGTATGGGGATGTGAGTGTGTGGTGGGGCCTGAGGAGCTCGGCTTCCCTGCTTAGCTTTGCTCTCTGTGCTAGCCCCCGTGTTCTGGGGACCCTGGAAGGGAAGAGCTCCCTGGATCCTGAGCTACCTGCAGCCCAGGCTCCATGCTCCCTGTGCCCCAGACTCCCTGCTCCATGCTCTCTGTGCCCTAGGCTCCCTGCTCCAAGCTCCCTGCCTGCTGCCTCTCAGCACTGCTGAATTAGATTCCACACTAAAGATATTTTCAGGGGCAGTTTTGTCCTCTGCCCCTTCCCTTGCCTCTATTCCTGTTTGTAGTCTCCCCTTCTCAGTGCCAGCCTGCTTCTCTCTTCTTCCACGTCCCAGCCCTGTTCTGGCACGGATTTGCCTTCCCAGTGTCTCTGGGTGTATGTGGGACCGCGCACTGGCCTCCTGCAGGGTGTTTTGGATCAGCTGGAGTGCGGGGAGCTGCAAAAATGTGTCCCCGTTTTCCCACCCCCTGCCCTGCTTCCCCTCTCCCCAGGGCTTTGCTCCAGATTGCTCTCCGGCTTCTTTCCGGGGGGAGGAACCAGCGGGCAGAGCCGGGGGCTTGGGGTGGGATTCCTCCCTCCCTGGCGGGTTCCTGTTCCTGGTGGTGTGGATGTGGTCGGTTCAGGCGCCGGAGCGCAGAGTGTGACGTGCTGCCTCTTAAAATGGAGGCCTAAAATAGGCACTCGGAGGAAATGATTCATCTGACCTATTTCTCTCCCCGGCTCTTGCAGCACTGGGGATGTCCGGCCGGGATACCGGCAGCTCGGCCCTGGGGGGAGGAATTCTGCCCCTGCCACTGCCGGGAAGCAAGTGGGGCCCAGCCGATGGCATCAGGGCATGACCCTGTGCCTGCTGCCTGCTGCCCATCCAGTGGGCATTCCACAAGGCAGGCGGCGTCTCCAGAGGCCGATGCCTCCCACAGGGAGCGGGGTTGGAGTGGGACCAGCCCCGACGTGGATCCCGCTGGGATTTTCTTTGCGCTGGTGTCCCGTAGCACCGACAGATTTAAACCCATCTCACGTTTCAAAGGGCGATGGAATAACACAGTCTGGGCGATCCGCAGGGATAACTGCTTCCTTGGCAGCTTTCTCTCAGTGGTAAAAGCAAAAAGAGTCAGATTGTGGTGGGAGTGACGCTGCCAGGAGCTGCCTGGGGACAGCAGGTCCTATCCCTGTTCCTTGCTGTTGCTATCCAAGATGCTTGGCATTGTGTCATGCCTTGCATCATTTTTGTGTATTCAGGGCACCTCTTCTTTCCTTTTTTTCCCCCTTTTTTCAGCCCAAGCTGGAGGAAGAGGCAGCCAGCACGTTGGGGACATCAAGGGGGGCAAATAAATGGAGGGTTTGGCATATCCCAGGAATGGAGAGAACGCTGCAGGACAGTCCTAGGAGCCAATGGGGTGCCCTGGGACCCTCCAGACTGGGATGGAGGGATCTGACCTGGAGACAGGGCTGAAAAAGCCAAATTTCAGGAGATTTTGTGCTGGGTTGAGCCCAAATGGCCCCCCATGGGCTATTGGATTGTGTTTTCCTGGTTGCTGTGCATGAGCCCCTCTCCAGGTTTGGGGAGGTCACGCACATGTGGGGGGAGGTTGCCCACATTTTGGGAGAGGCCGCTCCTGTCTGGGGATGGGAGTTGTTGCCATTCATCCCTTGGCTCTCCAGAGGCTCCTGTGTCATGTCGGGGGACCCCCGGGGTTTTTGGGGGGGCAGAGCTGGGAGCTGTGCTGAGCTGCCCAGAGGTGCTGTGGCTGCCCCATCCCTGGAAGTGTCCAAGGCCACGTTGGACAGGGCTTGGGGCAACCTGAGCTAGTGGAAAGTGTCCCTGCCCATGGCAGGGGAGTGGAATGAGATGAGCTTTAAGCTCCCTTCAACCCAAATCATTCCAGGATTCCACGATTTTAGGTCTCCAGGATTTTAGGGTTCTAGGATAGAAAATGTTTGCTGCTGGCTGTGTTGGGCAGACAGCTTGTGGGAATAATTTGACTCGATTTTTGTCCGTTTTTCCTTTTTTTTTTTTCCATTTTTACTTTTTTTTTCCTACCTGTGCCCCCTCGCCGAGTGCTGCGAGGTGACGGGCGCTGTTCCCCCGCAGACACCATCGACATTGTGCGTGATCCCATCTCCCCGGGGGAATACAAGCCCGAGGAGGATCCCAAACTCTACCACTCCTCCAAGACGGGCCGGGGGCCGCTGGGGGATGACTGGCTGGAGGCGGCGGCGGCCGGCGGGCCCCTCATGTGCGCCTACAAGCTGTGCAAGGTGGAATTCCGCTACTGGGGGATGCAGTCCAAGATCGAGCAGTTCATCCACGATGTGGGTGAGTCCGGAGCCGGGAGCTGCCGGCGGGGGAATCTGGGGAGCCTTGGGGCCTCGCCAGCCTCGCTGCCCCCCTCTTTTCCCTCCTCAGGTCTGAGGAAGGTGATGCTGCGCGCCCACCGCCAAGCCTGGTGCTGGCAGGACGAGTGGACGGACCTGACGATGGAGGATATCCGGCAGCTGGAGGAGGAGACGGCGCGGATGCTGGCACAGAAGATGGCCAAGTGCGGCGAGGCCGAGGAGCCTCCCACGGCCGGCATCAGCCCCGAGGGGAGGCCGGAGACAGGGGGGCCCGGTGGGCAGGAGGGGGCCGAGCTGCAGGGCGGGACCGATGCCTCCTCTGATGATACCTTTGCCAAGCAGTGGTCCACCTCTTCCCGGTCCTCCTACTCTTCCCAGCATGGAGGTGAGAGACCAAGTCCTGCATGGATGGGATGGGGACCCCAACCCCCCAGGTGCTGCTGTTCTCCATAGGAGATCTGTCAGGGGACTCTCTTTTCCCTGGTTTGGGTCTCCTGAGGCGGGCTCTGGGTGTCCCAGGTCTGATCACAGGTCTCCTGAAGGGGCTCTGGGTGAGCCAGTGATGGCTCTGGGTGACCCAGGGATGGCCCAGGGTCTCCTGGGTGGGCTCTCAGTGACTCAGGGATGGCTCTGGGTGACACAGGGATGGATGTGTGTTACCTGGGCATGGTCTGGGTGATCCAGGGATGGCCCCAAATCTCCCTGGGTGGGTCTGGATGCAGAACCAGGCAGGAGCTGTGGGGCAGGAGCGAGGTCTCACTGTGGGGGTGTCTGTGTGCTGACCCCCTGCCGGTGGCAGGGGGCGTGTCTCCTCAGAGCCTGTCGGAGTGGCGGATGCAGAACATTGCCCGGGACTCCGAGAACAGCTCCGAAGAGGAATTTTTCGATGCCCATGGTACAGGCACTGGCTCGGGGTGGGCTGGATGGGGGACAGGGAAGTCTCAGAGTGGGGGTGCAGGCATGGGCAAGATCCCCCTGCCCACACCCCTCCCTGCCTTCACAGAGGACCTGTCTGACAGTGACGAAGTCTTTGCCAAGGAGATGACCAAGTGGAGCTCCAATGACTTCTTGGACACGCTGGAGCGACCGGCAGAGCTGGATGAGGCAATGGGTGAGCGCTGGGGGGGCTCTAGCCCCAAATCCTGGTGTGGGTGTCCTGGGAGGGGGCCGATTCCCACCTGGAGACCCCAACCAGGCTCACCGGGGCTGTGTGCTCGCAGGGGATGGAGCCAGTGCTGCCAAGGCAGACGGTGAAGGACTGGGAACGTCTGGCTTCCCCGAGGTGCGTGTCCCATGTCCCCTCCCTCAGGACCTGACCCCCGGCCGTGCCCCCCCTGACTTCAGCGCTCTCCTTCCTGCAGGGCGGCGCAGCGGAGAGCGCGGAGCAGATGTGCCGGATCCACGCGCTCTTCCTCATCCTGCACAGCGGGAACATCCTGGATCAGGGCGCGGGCGAGCCGGGCTCCAAGCAGGCGGATGTGCAGACGCTGGCGGCCACCTTCGACGCCGTCACCCGTGTCCACTTCCCCGAGGCGCTGGGACACGTGGCGCTGCGCCTGGTGCCCTGCCCGCCCATCTGCGCCGCGGCCTACACCCTCGTCTCCAAGTACGCATTCACGATGGGAGAGGGGGAGAACGGGGAGCTGATGGCCTCAGAGAGGGGACTTTGCTTCTCCTAAGAAGGCATCTAGGACGACGGGTGGGATAGGGGTAACCCCCGCTGTAGCATCCCAGGACAAACAAATATCATGGCATGGGGTGGGTTGGGACGGGGATTACTCCTGGTGCAGCATCCCGGGGTGAACAAGCACCGTGGGGTGGGACAGGGATGTTGGGACAGCCCCGTTCATCCCCTTCCTCGTGTCCCCCTCAGGCTCAGCCCCTACAGCCACGACAGGGACAGCCTGTCCAGCAGCCAGGACCACATCCCGCTGGCAGCGCTCCCGCTGCTGGCCACATCCTCAGGCACCTACCAGCATGCCGTGGGCACCGTCATCGCCCGTGCCAACCAGGCCTACGGAGCCTTCCTGCACTCCGGGGAGGGCGCCGGCTTCTGCGGCCAGGTGAGGGGGTATTTTGGGGGAAGCTTGGCTCCAGGGTCCGGCTGTGGCGCTGCACGGGGGGTTTGGGGGTGTCACACCACTCATGGGCGTGTGCCCTCCACAGGTGGTGCTGCTGGGGGACTGCGTGGGTGGCATCCTGGGGTTCGACGCGCTGTGCCAGAGCCGGGCGGGCTCCGGGGGCAGCCGGAACAGCAGCCGCCGTGGCAGCCTGGTGAGTGTCTGCACCCCAACACCCTCTGGGGAAGGTTCAGGGGTGCACTGGGGGCTACATGGGGGTCTGGGTGTTTGCTGCCTCTCCCCGCAGAGCACAGAGCCTGTCTCCCCGGAGCTGTGCGGTAGCAGAGACCCACTGGCCGATGGGACAGAGGGAGCAGCAGGATTGGGCCAGGCCAGCCCCGAGCTCCTGGGGGCACAGGGGGACAGCCACCAGCACAGCTCCTCGTCCAGGTGAACCCGAGGGGCATGGTTGACATCTTGATTAATTTTGTGCTTTATGGAAAGGGCAGAATTCCTGTCTGCTCCAGGCTGGGAAGAAGCATTTCATGGGGGCTGCCTGCCCTGGGAGGGTCTTGCTGGAGCTCCTCTGGGATAGTGGTGCCATGCCAGGCACAACTTTGCCCCTGAGTGGGTGGGAGCAGGACACTACCCTCCCTCCTCATGCCTACTGTCCCTGCTGTCCCAGCCTGCAGGCCAGCGAGGCCCCGCTGGAGGCAGAGGCACCCCGAAGCAGCACCGCGGTGCTGGATGGGGCGGAGGGTGCCAGCACCCGCCTTGAATTTAAGGTATCCGGCTTCTTCCTCTTTGGCTCCCCGCTGGGGCTGGTGCTCGCGCTGCGCAAGACCGTCATGCCTGCACTGGATGGTGAGGAGCCCTGCCAGCCCCCGTGCCAGCCCCTGACCCTCCCTGCGGGGACTTGAGTCCCTGAGTTGTGCTCCCTGCACAAGCCTGAGCCCCCCGAGACCTTCCTGAAGAGCCCTGCTTGGGTTTCAGCCCCCCACATGCCCAGGCCTGGCCGTGTGGGTGTTAGTGGTGGTGGGTTGCTAAGTGTCCCCGCTCTGTGCCAGCCCCAGCCCGTCCCCAGTGCCCCCAAATTTCCCTCCCTAGCCTTTCCTCTCGCTGTGTCCTGCTTTACCCCTCCTGGGTGCTTTGCTTCTGGTGCCCCCCAGCCCTCGTGGGCGCCCCTGACCCCGCTCTGTGCCGCAGTGGCCCAGCTGCATCCCGCCTGCGAGCAGATCTACAACCTGTTCCACGCCGCCGATCCCTGCGCCTCTCGCCTGGAGCCCCTCCTGGCCAAGGCCTTCCACGCTGTGCCCCCGCTCAGCGTGCCCCGCTATCAGAAGTACCCCCTGGGTGATGGCACCTCGTCCCTGCTGGGTGAGCAGGTCCCCACCGGTCTGGTCCCGGGCACCCCAGGGTCACATTGGGGTACCCAGAGCATCCACAGCCTGGCTGGTTGGGGGGAAAGGGATGTGCAAGCTCTTCTCGCCCCTCTGGGGCTCTGCTGGGGTGGGGTCCCGGGGTGGTGGGGTGTCCCTGGGAGCTCTGGGTGTGCTCACCCAGCTCTCTCTGCAGCGGAGGCCCTGCAGACACATTCTGCCCTGTTCCTGCCCAAAGTGGATGTGGCTGCCCCCCCTACTCCCACTGGCAGCTTTGGGGGCTTCTGGAGGGGCAATGAACCGGCAGAGCCCCCCACTCCTGCCAACACCAGCGAGGTTGTCAAAAGTAAGTGCCATTCCTGCCCTGTCCTTCCCATCCCATCCCATGGGATGAGGCACGGGAATGGCTTCATTCCAGCTGTCCCCACAGTCCTAGAGCGCTGGTGGGGCCCGAAGCGCATCGACTACTCGCTGTACTGCCCCGACGCCCTGACCGCCTTCCCCACCATCACCCTGCCCCACCTCTTCCACGCCAGCTACTGGGAGTCCTCCGACGTGGTGGCCTTCATCCTGCGCCAGGTACGGCGGGCGCAGTGGGGTGGGCGAGGAGCTGGGGCCCGTGGAGGCTGAGCTGGGGCCGTGCCATCGGCAGGTGATGGAGAAGGAGGGGCCACAGCCAGCAGAGAGTGAGGAGAGCTCCATCTACAGCCCCGCCATCCCTCGGGAGAAGTGGCAGCGCAAGCGCACCCAAGTGAAGATCCGAGTATGTGGCCTGTGGCCAGCAGGAGCCCACGCAGGGCATCCTGGGGTCATGCACCTGGGAGGGTTCTGGGACAGTCCCACAGCCCAGCGGTGTCCCTGTGTCACCCTGCTGAGCCCGCCGTGCCCCCACAGAACGTGACGGCCAACCACCGGGCCTGCGACGTGATCGTGTGCGAGGGCAAAGCGCAGGTCCTGAGCGGGCGCTTCATGTACGGACCCCTGGACGTGGTGACACTGACCGGGGAGAAGGTACTGCTGGGTCATGGTGCCACTGGGACCCCCTCAAATAGGGGGTGTCCAGGACGGGGCATGGGGCTGGTGTCAACCATGGCAGGGGGTGAATAGGAGCCTGCATGGGATGGGGGGAGAGGGTCGTAAGGACTCTCAAGTGGGGACACAGCAGGATGTTGGGGTTCAGCCTGTGCCCAGCCTGTTTCCCTCTCCCAGGTGGACATCTACATCATGACACAGCCGCTGTCAGGGAAGTGGCTGTACTATGGCACCGAGGTGACGAGCGGCAGCGGGCGCCTGACCTTCACCATCCCTCCAGACAAGGCTCTGGCCATCGGGATCTACCCCGTGCGCATGGTGGTCAGGTGAGGTGTCACCTCAGTTCCTCCTCCAGCCTTTTTGGCAGAGCTACACCTGCCCTTCTGACAGCGGAGGCCAAGGGCCAAGCCCCCACGTCTGCTGTTCCAGGGGGGATCACAGCTATGCTGAGGCGTACCTGACCGTGGTGGCCCGCGGCACCGAGTCCGTCGTGTTCAGCATCG